TGCGTCCTTCCCTCCGCCTCATGTAGGGGTGGCTCCATGTTCTTCAGGAGCTCTTTGCTCCCCTACCTGCTGCCGACATCGGTGTTCTCTGGGGCCCAGCACCTGTGTCACACGCTCAGGTCACTTGAGGCAGCTCACACCTGTCCTTGTGGAGGGCTGCCCCCGGCTGCTGGACACCCCTCTTCACTGACATTCTTAACCTTCACAGACTCGGAAGTGTCTGGGGCTGTAGATAGATGGTCCTGCTCCCTTCCCCTGGTGGGGACGCTTCCATGTCTCCTGAGCCCCTGGAGCCAGCAGCCCTCTGAGACTGTGCATGATGTCATATGCTTGGCCTCCTTCCCTCCCATGTCCCCAGTCCCCACTCCCCACTCCCCCAGGTGTGTGTGTGTGTGTTTTCCTGAGAATACCTCTAATCACCCTACATGAATCCCCAACTAAACAGCTGCTTTTGTATTTATCACTTAAAACTTTGTCTCCTTAATTAGTAGTCATTGTTTTATAGTAAAACTAGAGGCCTGGTGCATGAAATTTGTGCACTTGGGGGGTGGGCCCTCAGACCGGCCTGTGCCCTCTTGCAGTCAGGGAGCCCTCAGGAGATGTCCCTCTCACATGGAGGCTGGAGAGGCTCCAGCCACCACCACTGTGCTCACCAGCCGTGAGCCTGGCTTCTGGCTGAGCGGTGCTCCCTATGGGAGCGCACTGACCACCTGGGGGCAGCTCCTGCGTTGAGTATCTACCCCCTGGTGGTCAGTGCACATCATCGCGACTGGTCGATCCACCGTTCAGTCGATTTGCATATTAGCTTTTTATTATATAGGATGTTTGAATAAAACCTTGACCTCTTCATTCCTAGTACCGAAAAACTGTTTCTAGGTAAATGTTAATGGTCTTACTATGGGGCTTGTTAAAGAATTGCTTATGGATGCAATTGAAATACTGAAGTAAATGGCTTTCTCAGGTTTTTACCTTCCGGTGCTCGAAAAAGGGGTGTAAGAAGAAAGAGATGCTGCCGGTGGCTTGTGACCAGTGTCATGGCAACTTCTGTATTCAACACAGACACCCTCTGGATCATAGCTGCACACACGGGAGCAGAGCCGTCAGCATCGGGGGGTGAGAAGTCCCAGCCGGGGTGCTGGCCTGACGCCTCCCCTGACGAGGGTAGAGCCAGCTTCCCGCCCGTGGAGGGCGGTGAGCAGCCTGGAGCGTTGTTCTCTGTCAAGTGGTGGATGCAGGAGTTTGCATGAATATAATCTTCATTAAAGTTGGATTCTAAATTAAAGTTGGAGTCTAGCTGTGTTGTTTCCTGGGGCGGCCGTAACAAAGAACCACTAACGGTGGCTCAAACAATAGGATTCCTCGTCTCAGTTCCAGTTCTGGAGGCTGAAGCTGAGATCAGGGTGTCAGGGCTGGTTCCCCTGGAGGTTCTGAGGGAGAGTCTGTGCCAGCCTCTCCCCTCGCTGCGTGGGCGCTGTCAGTCTTGGCGTCCGTGGCTTGTAGACATCAGCCCGGTGCTCTCCCTGTGCCCAATGTCCCCTTCTTATGAGCCCACCCCGCTCCACTGTGACTCAACACAATGACATCGGCAGCGGCCCTGCATCACACACTCATGCTCCGAGGGTTAGGACTTCAACCTGCCGTTTGGGGGACACAATGAGCCCACTCACTAGTGTTAACCAGAGGACTTCGTTGGGTCAGTAGAAGCTTCTGCCTAAACTTGCTGTGGAATAGAAATGGGAGTTCTTTTTTGGTTGCATTTGCTTGTTACACTCCCGGCTGTGGGCTCAGGTTGACTCTGCCCTAACTGCCTGTGGCTCCATGGGAAGCTGGGAAGGCCTTGGCTGACTGTGGGTCTAACCTTTCCATGCAGGTGTCCAGCTGTGAGAGCCTCTGAATCCGAACCGTCGGGCCCTTTGAATGCACTGCCACCCCGCTGGCTGGCTCAGCGACTCAGGCATTAGTCCAGATGGCACGCGCAGGTCTAGTGGCTTTTGGGGGGTGGGGGAGGGGGCAGGGCCCCAGGTTACAGGTGCAGCTGGCTCCCGAGCACCGAGCACCATGGTCCAGCAGCGACATTTGAGGGTTTCTGCAGCACCATGTTGGGCCGACGTGCGCTGCACCTTAGTTAACGGGGCACGGGTAAGAAGTAACTCGTTGTTCGTTCTCTCTCAGGTCGAAAGCGAGGCGATGACGCCTGGGTCTGCGCCAGCTGCAGAGGCTTGTTCGTGTGTCCCACTGCCCTTGTGGGGAACGTGGGTGCTCGGGCGCTTTCCTACTCCTCACGGCAAAGTCTGAAACGAACCTTCCCCAATGAGTACATAAGTCCTTCCGCGAGATAAGCAGTCCGAGGGCACTCCTACCCTCAGGTCGGGTACATTGCTCCACACCCTCCCTCCCTCCAAATGAAAGGAAGCGGCTTGAAGAGCAAGAGGCCGCCTGAGCCGGTCAGGGCGGCGCTGCCCGAGCTGTTTGTCAGGCCCTGACTCTGAAGAAGCTTCACCACCTAAACAGCAGAGAGGTGGTCGCACTTTGGCTTCCTCGTGGGGCTTCGGTAGTGATGTGGCCATCAGCTCAGGAAAGGGGGCGGCCCCACCCACCACCCACTCCCCTGAGAGTCTGTGACCGCACTGACCCCAAGCGGGACTGAGACTGGAACCTCAGTGCGTGGCAAGAGCTCTCTCCTGAGACCTGGAGTGTTAGGAAGCGGGGGACAGTGCTGTCCGAGTTAGCCCACCGGTCACCCAGCCGTGCACTCAGACACACGCTGGCCTGGGCTAGCAGATCCACGCAGCCACTCCTCTGGGCTCACAGCCCAGAAGGTGAGGAGGAGGGGCTTGCATTCAGTCCGATGTACAAGTGGGTGCTCTTGTGGGGTGTGTTCCAAATGTGTCAGAATCGCCCAGAGGCGCTGTTAGAGCAGTGCAGGCCCCACCCCAGAGTGTGATTCTGGGGGCCTGGGTGGACCCTGAGAATTCTCGCAGCTGGAGACCTGCACGGAAAGGTTAGACCCAACAAGTCCCCGGGTGATGCTGCCGCATCGGAGCTGCTGTGGTCACAGCCCATGCAGAGCACGCGGAAGGCCCCAGCGCAGCAGGCACTGAGCTCTGGCTCTGTTCAGCGTTAGAGCCATTGACCTGATCCAGTTAGGAAAGTTGTAAGTCTGTTGGTAACTTGGGATGTGAACTGCACTTTATGAACTGTAAGCCATGAAATCTGAATATAGATCAGGTCTTTCTCATGAAAATTTCTGTCCAAGTTGAGAATAAAACGCTGGTTTTGAAAGCAATACCAAAAATTTTCAAAGTAAAATATCTCACTTAAAAACAGCTACATGTTGAAATGTATTTTGGATATGATGGATTAAATGAAATATAAAAGTTTTTTCACTGGTTTCCATTTTTATTTTTAACTGGTTACCAGCGAGACATTTTAGAAACAGGTGGGTGGCTTGCATTCAGTCTGTTAGACAACGCTGCTCCAGATCCTCACACTAAAGGAGAAAACCCACACCGTATCAGGAAGAATCGTCCTCTGCCTCTGGTCTGCTTCTGCCTGCAGGTGGGGTTGGGGTGTCAGTGTCGCGGGAGCTCCAAGCACCCTGTGTCCTCGTGCAGGTGGCTCCAAGGGTGTGCAAGGCCAGGAGAGCAGGAGCCCCTGCTCCCTGTCCCTCCACAGCACTGAGCCCTCGCTCTGTTCCTTGCATCCACAAGTTCTTGTCACTCACAAGTACCAAGGCCCTGGTCTGCCTGCCTTCCCAGCCTGTCATGAGCATCCACGAGAGCTAAGGTGCCACTGAGTGGCTCTGGACAGGGCATGAGGTTGCATGGGGCGGTGTGTCAAATGGATAAGCCACATCGCACTGTACACTTCCACAGAGGGCCAGCATTCATATTCGTTGGAAGTTGGGGGAATGAATCGCTTTAGTGTCAGGAGTCTGCGTGCATTGTTGAGTGAAGCCGGAGCAGTAGGTCGGTGCTCCGTCTCTGCCCAGGGCAGGAAGCTATGTTTTTTTCCCGTGGAGTCGTAAAGCCCAGTGGGAGAAGTTTTTTTGTGTGTTGTTTTTTTTAAAAAAATATATTGATTTGAGAGAGGGAGAGAGAGAAATATCAATGATGAGAGAGAATTATTGATTGGCTGCCTCCTGCATGACCCCTGTAGGGGATGGAGCCGGCAACCCCGGATATGACGGGAATCAAACCCAGGACCCTCAGTCCACAGGCAACACTCTACCCACTGAGCCAAACCGGCTAGGGCCCAGTGGGAGCAGTGTGAATAGCTTTCCTTAGTCATTAAAATGGGACACGCTCATACCTGTGGCCCAGAAATTCTGAGTATGTGTCTTGCAGAGACATCCCTGCACATTCCTGTCCAGCTGTCACCCCCTCCCCCTTTGCAGTTCCCACCTTAGCAGTGGGCCACACAAGCGATCTTCCTTTCCTCCCATTCTCAAAGTGTCTGGACTGTTAAATATTTCTAAAAACCCAATGAACGAACGAGGACTTAACTCGGGTATCTACAATCCAGATGTTCAGTTTTTCCAGCTTCGATTCAGATACTAATCTGAATTTACAACACTCTTGCAGATACGGCTCTACTGCATTTGAAACCTTCACACACGTGTAATGTTGGTGACATTTAAACATTATACAGTTTAAATTACAGCATTTACAATTTATATACATTTATAATGTCTGAGACGAATGCCCGTGGACCACAACAGGCGTCGTTCATTCATTTAAGTCCAAGGGACCCAGCACCCGGCGGCCTCCCAGCCCGAGCCGCCGAGCCCCAGGCCAGAGGCCGCGGAGTGGGGCCCAAACCCACCGCCGCACACGGCCGGGGTGGGGGTGGGGGTCGGGGTAGGGGGGTTGCCTGGCAACTGGCGGCTCCCAGCGACTTGCGGCGTCCAGAGATGACGCTACCGGCCCGCGCCCAGCCCCGCCCCCTGGCGGCCGCCGCTTGCTATTGGTCGGCCGAGAGACGGAGGCGGGTCTCGTCCAATGGGCGGCGCCGCTCTGGAGGGCGGGACGGCGTTACCTGGGCGCTGGGTCTGCCGGAAGCCGGCGTCGGCGGCCACGCGCAGGTAGGCGAGCGCGGCGGAGTCTCCGAGTCGGGGTGGCCGCCGCGTGGGGGCGCGGGCCGCGAGCGGTGCTGCGGGGGCGGCGGCAGAGCCAGGCGCGGGGCCTTGGCGGCCTCGGGGCGGCCGTGCGGACCGCGGACACTGGGCCCCCGCCGCCTCGGACTTTCTGTCACGGCGCTTCTCGGGGCTCCTCCCGGGGGGACGGCCCGGTGCCCTTGCCGGCCGGAGCCGGGGCTGGGGGGTCGGAGAGGCCGGAGCAGCTGGGACACAGCGCGCGGCGGTGGCGGAGCGCCCGGGGCAGCGCGCGGGCGGGGAGGACGCCGCCTTCTCCACGCGCGGCGGGAGCCGGGGGTCTTCCCGCGAGGGAGGCGGAACCTGACCCGCGGTGAGTGACGCACCGGCGCCCGGGGCCCTGCCCGTAGGGGTGTGGGGTCGCTGGAGATGGTGGCATTTTTAAAAAATGTAATTTGTTGAATTCATAGAGGAGGGGAGAGAGTGACAGAAACACCAGTGAGAGAAAAACACGCCCTCCACTGGTCCAGCGCAGGCGGGCACGTGCCTGACCGGGAATCGAACCCGTGACCTCCTGGTTCACAGGTGGAGGCTCAACCACTGAGCACGCCGGCCGGGCTCAGGCATCCTTTCAGCGGTTCTCAACCTTCCAATGCCGCGACCCTTTAGTACAGCTCCTCATGTTGCGGTGACCCCCAATTTCATGGTCACAAATCGAACATCATCAAAGCATAGTGATTCATCACAAAAACAATATGTAATTATATGTGTGTTTTCCGATGGTCTTAGGCGACCCCGGTGAAAGGGTCGTTGGACCCCCAGGTTGAGAACCGCTGCTTAGGTCCTCCGGAAGTTTGGTAGGACCAGGTCGCGACCAGGCTGCGGCCGGGCTGCTAGGAGCTGTGTGCGCGTTTTGTTCCGGTCTTGCGGCCGAGGCGGAGGTCTAGGGGCGAGTCGGGCGGAGGGAGGCTCTGTTAGCACCTGGGGTCGCCGGGGATGCGAGGAGAGAGCGCTTTTCGCTTTTGGTGCCGGTTGGGGCGGGTGCGAGTGGCCGCTCCTGAGGTCTCTCCGGGGAAGGAAGCAAACGCGAGAGCCGTGTGAGGTGTGGGGCCTGGTGGTGGTTGACTCGTGGGCAGGGGAGGAAGAGGGTGCAGGAGGCGGGGTGGGCCCCAGCGCCCGAGAGCAGCATTTGGCCTTGTGGGAGCCTGCAGTTTCCATGGCAACGGGAGAAGGGCAGGTCCCAGGACCTAGGAGCTTGTGGCAGTCGGTGATAGGGAGTTAAGGCCTTCCGCTGAGAAGGGGGACGGGCCGGGGGTGGGGGGGCGACTTTGGAGCTGGAGAGGTCAGGAGAGGTGCGAGCAGGCCGGGTTCCTGGCCAGTGGCTGCAGTTGGGAGAAGCGGGGGAATACCTGGGTGAGGCTGGGGAGACCCGCCAGCCTGGTCCTTGGGGCCTCCAGCCGCCGGCGCAGGTCGCGGAGTCGGGGTTTTGCCCGAGAAGGAGCTGAGTGCCTGCGAGGCCGAGATTGAAATGATGGACGTGGGCATGCGGCTGTGGAAGTGGAATGAGGAGGGCGAGGCGGCTTGCGGAAGTGGTGAGCTGGAAGAGCGAGAGATGGGGGTGGGCTTGGTGGGTGGGGTGCTTGTCATCACAGGGTTTAGAGCTTGGCTGGGAGGGGAGCAGAGGGCAGACGTGGGAGGCCATGCGTGTAGGTGGGCAAGTCCGAACTGGAATGGTCCTGCATCCAAGTGGGCAGAGCACAGCCACCGCCCTGGGCCCTGGGACTGGCCTCCTAGACCTAGAGGACGGTGGGGCCCAGACCCTCCCTCGGGGGCCTCTGCCCTGGGAGTTGGGAGGTGCCCTTCCTCGTTACAAAGCGGCTGACCGTTTCCTATCCCACCGGCCGCGAGAGGGAGCTCTGGGTCCTCCGCATCCTCCATCCTCCGCGTCTGACTAGCCGGCCCAGCGACTCAAGTGGCCTGGCCTGTGATTGGCACTTCCCGAATGACGGTGGTGTTGAGCATCGGTCCGTGTGCTTATTGGCCATTGTGTCGCTTAGGGAAATTTTATATTCAAATCTCTTTGCCCATTTTTAAATAAGGCTATTTGTCTTTGTCTCTTTTTTTTTTTTTTTTGCTGAGTTGCAAGAGTTCTGACACATTCTGGGTACAAGTCTCCGGTCAGATATAAGCCTTACGTGCATTTCCTCCAATCCCGTATGTAGGCGCCCCTTTATTTTCCTGTGTCATTTGCAGCACAAGCCTTTTTAATTCTGACCAGTCGCTTGCCTGTGTTTTCCTTGGCTGCTTGCGTTGTTGGTGTCGCAGCTAAGAAGCTGCCGTCCAGGCCACGAAGCGCTGCGCCTGGGTTTTCCTTTGAGACTGTTGTTCGGCTCACGTTGAGGTGTTCGCCTTTTTTGAGTGAGCTCTGTGGGGTGTGAGGGGTCCCACTCCGTCCGCTTGCATGTGGACGCCCAGTTGTCCCCGCTCCGCTGTGGACGAGGCTGCTCTTTCCCAGCGAACGGTCTCAGCCCCTTGTCGAAGCGCATTAACTGAAGGTGGAAGGAAATGGAGTTTTCTATACAAACATTGTCTCAGATTCATGAGTTGCCATCTCTTGGAACTATTAAAAGAAACCTTTTTATAATGTGGGAGCCTTTTCCCCCTTTTAGCAAATAGACTTGGTGGTTAAACTTTTTAATGATAACTTACAGAATGAATATAGATTTAACTTAACGTTTATGGTAACTGTTATATAAATATTTGCTAAACCAGTGGTTCTCAACCTTCTGGCCCTTTAAATACAGTTCCTCATGTGGTGACCCAACCATAACATTATTTTCGTGGCTACTTCATCACTGTCCTGTTGCTACTGTTATGAATCGTCATGTAAATACCTGACATGCAGGGTGGTCTTAGGCGACCCCTGTGAAAGGGTCGTGTGACCGCCAAAGGGGCCGCGACCCACAGGCTGAGAACCGCTGGGCTAAACTTTTCTTATTTCTTCAACAAGGTAATTGGCCGGCAGAGTTCTTTGTCTTTTCAAAGCCCCTTTGTCAACAGTCTCGTATTCTTTCCAGATTTCTTATCACAGTGCTAATGATGCTTTTCACGTATAGAGCCTTGAGAAAAGCAAGATAAAACTGGGCTGTAAAAAAATAGTTCCTTGTAACCCCACCCCTTAGGCAAAGGTTTTGTTGATGTCCACAGACATTTTCATAGCTAGGGGAATATATATACACAAATGGAGCTTTCTCTGTTGTTATGTCAGCATTTTCTTAAAAACAAAATTGGACAGTGGTACTACATTTTTCATCCTATATCTGTAATGTGTTCTCATTTATTATGATTTTTAAAAAATGTTTTTATTGATTTCAGAGAGAGGAACGGAGAGGAAGAGAGATAGAAATATCCTTGATGAGAGAGAATCTTGATTGGCTGCCTGCTGCCCTACCCTGCCGGTGGACGCTCACCCACTGAGCCACACGGCCTGGCTGTTGTGATTTTTGAATGGATTCCATTGCACTGGTTGATCCTGATTGACGTATTCAGTCCCTTGTTGCTCTGTGATGGAGATATTTCCACTAAGGAGGAAGTGCCGGGAAATGCACGCGTGTGTCTGCAGGCTGGTCACCCTGTGGTCGCAGCTCTAGGAGCGCCTGTCCCCTGCGTCACGATGCCCACGTGGCAGCGTCTGGGCAAAATGCTGCTCTGCCGGTGGGGGGGAGGGGCCTTCTTCCTGCTCTGCGCCGCCCCCCCCCCCCCCCCCCCCCCCCCCCCCCCCCCCCCCCGCACCAGCAGCTGGAGTTGGTTCCGTTCCTGCTTCTCCTTCCGAAAATCAGCCTGGTCCCTTCATACGTCCCCGCTCAGAGGTCCTGAGCCTCCACCGTTCCTCTGGGTTCCCCAGGCCGTGGCCCCACGAAGGCGCCTGGATTAGAACCCGTGGGCTTTTCTCTGTTCTTGCGCGTGGAGCTCGGTCCTGTGGAGCTGGAGAAAGCAGGTGCCCCGGCTCCCATGCAGCCCTCGCCACATGTCAGCCCCTTATTGGCCCAGGGGCTGCTGCTTCCTCGCACCAAGGAGCCATCGCCGGTGCAGCACGGGCCCCACGTGTGAGCAGCCCAGTGCTCTGGTGCGAGTCAGTGTCATAGCAGGAAATAAAAATAACCCCAAATGGTCAGTAATCGGGGAATAGACACGTTTTTGTAATTTGCACTTTTAGAAAATTTTGATAGTCATTAAAATGATATTTCTCTTGCCCTAGCTGGTTTCCTGAGTGGTTAGAGCATCGGCCCTTGGACTGAGGGTCGCAGGTTTGATTCTGGTCAAGAGCCTCGGTCCCAGGCTTGATCTCCGGCCCCGGTCGAGGTGCATGTGGGAGGCAACCAGTCGATGTGTTGGGCCTTTTCTCTTAATGTTAAAAAGCTTCGTGTTCGTGTTTAGTTAGAAATACAGAATACAGCCCAGCCCATGTGGGTCGGTTGGTTGAGCATCATCCCATGCGCCAGGAGGTCGCGGTTCCATCCCGGTCAGGGCACGTGCCGGATGGTAGGCTCGGGCGTGCAGGCGGCGGCCCGTGGATGCTTCTCCTTGCTTCCATCTCTCCCTCCCTTCCTCTCTGAGAAGTCAATTAAAAAACACAAACATACAAAAAAAGAAATACAGAATATAGACAGGGTGGGGAAATTAGATTTACAGCTGTGAGTAAGCGAAACAGTGTATTCTTGTGTTATTATTTAGTAATTATTGTATCATTTTTCATACGAAGAACTGTAAACCTACTCTTGCCGACCCTGCCTGTTAAAACCTCAGAAAAGAGAAAGGCATCCACCACATGGTTGGGTTGGTTGTCGGAGGCGATGACGCTGGGCGATTGGCCTCCGGTCACGTTTACACGTGCTCCGTGCTCCCTGAAACACCTTTGTGCTTCACATGGGAGCACGTACAAGCATGGCCCTTCCCGTCTGCTTTCCTGGGGCAGGATGGCCGCGCCGAAGAGGAAAGCTCCTGGGACGCCTGGCGCGCCAGAGAAGAAGAACAGGAAGTTGAAGAAGGCGCTGGCAGCAGAGAAACCGCCGGCACCCGCAGCCCCGCAGGGCTCCACGGACACCCGTCCTGAGGTAGGTGCAGCTCACGCGGCCTCGCCGTGGCCTAACCTGGAGGGACGGGTCGGGCCGTGCTGCTGGCATCTGGATGGCGCGGAGGATGGCACTGGGACGTGTGGGCATGTCCAGGGTCCTCCGGACGCACTTCGGACAGACAGGAATCTCAGTCACTCTCAGGTGGGAACACCATGACTGTCCCTCAGCCACCAGATCTGTGTTTCCAGGGGATTTTGATGGCTCCACGGAGGCGCCAGGTGGTGAGGGCTGGAGCGGGGCCCTTGGGCTGTGCACAGGGACCAGGGTGGCCCGGCGGCCAGGGAACCTGTGTGTAGGAATTCATGTCTGAAAGTGTCTCATCTTAGCAGTGTAATCCCGCCGCAGAAAATGTGTGCCCGTGTCTATTACCACCACGTTCTGAGTGAGATTTTGCTCCTGGTGTGCAGTGGTCAGAGCAGTGGGAGATGCAGAATCAGTCACGTGAAGGCAGGTTTGCAGATGGAGTCACGCCGTGCTGAGAAGGGTGGGCGGGGTAACCTCGCGTGAGCCAGTGCAGTGCCATGTGGTCCCGCCTCGTGTCAGTGATCTGATCCCATGAACTGAACAGCTGAACGCTCTGGCGTGGCCACGGGCTGCTCCCTGACTCCTGGCCGGCAGGTTAACCGGTAGAGACCTGCCGTCACACAGCTGGCGAGGCCGCCTCCAGCTCCCTCGGAAGGAAGGCTGGGAAACCCTCGGCTGGGCCACCGGAGCTTGCTGCTGGCGGCATGTTTGTTCCCTTCCACACTGTATATCAGACCAGCCAGTGGCCGTGCCCCAGAGGGCTCCTGCCCCGGGGCAGGTGACAGGTAGCCTTTGCTCAGGACATGGGGGAAGGTTGTCGTGCAGGGGGACGAGGGGCAGGAGAGCAGGCCCTTGGAGCCACTTAGAGCAGATGTCAGCACGAGTGTGTGTGGCAGCTGGGCCCGGGAATGGGTTCCCCGGGGCCACCGTGCTGGGGACACCGTGGGAGTCTAGAGGTGCTCAGGGTCTGATGACTGGGGTCGGGTCACTCCAGGACTCCATCCGGTCGGCAGCTCTGCTCTCAGGAGGCAGCGTGCACCGGTTTGGCCGGCCGGCTGGGCAGCAGAGGAGGGCGGTGTGTGAAAGAAAGTGCCTGGCTTAGCTGGGCTGTGGGGCAAGAGGCCAGGCCAGCACCCAGGACACCCACTTGTCCTACGGAGCCTCGGCCACTCCGTGGCTTTCGTGGACTGTTTCTGTGACACTGTCCTGTTTCTGGGCCCTCCCGTGTCTTTGAGTGAACTAACTGCACACGCCGCCTTGCGATTGAGTTTTGTCATAAGAGTCTCAGCTTCCCTCGTCGCTGCAGGACCACGCGCGGCTTTATGGTAAATAGGGCCCGCGTGACAATTTGGGGGGGGGGGTGCTCTTTTTGTTAAAAGTGATTGTCTTTTGTTATTAAAGTTCATGTTGGTTCAGAGAAATCTAGGAAACGCAGGAGAAAAGCAAGCCTGTGGGTGGGTCTCTCCCGTGTCCTGTGGTGCCCAGGTGTGCACTGGTCTGCATCTCAGGGGCAGACCCGGCCTTCGGTTCAGTGTCCGCCAGGTGCCAAGGGTCCAGCACAGGAGGTGGCCTGTGGGAGAGAGCAAGCCAGCGGACAGCCCTGGAGGCCCCCCGAGGCCCGTGCAGCCCCACCTGGCCAGCGGGGGCCCAGGGGCTGCTGGTTTCCCCCACAGGTGCTGGGGCCCAGCAGGTCCGGCACTTGGAGGGTTTCGGTGCATCTCAGCGAGTCGGTCGGCTGGGGCTTGTGTCCTCAGGACCCTTCTTGTCTTGTGAAGCCAGCCTCCCAGGAGGCGGAGCCGCTGTTCCCGAGAACACTCCCTGCGCCGCTGACCGCTGCACCGGAGTTTACGGAGGGTGGCTGCCTGGCCGGGGAGCGCCTCCGGGCATTGGAGCTTGTGGAAAAGTACCGTGCCCCTCCCCACCCCCGTCCTGGAAGAACCTCTGGAATCCAGTGGAGAAGGGAGACGCCTCTGTCCCCAGGGGCCACTGTGTTGTCCTCCCGGAAATGTCTGTCTGGGCGGCCTGCGGGTCCCCGTGTGGTCACTTCCCACAGCACCAGCGCCCTGGACCTGTGCCAGGATGGCTGAAGTATCCCAAGCGGTGGTACTTCATTGCCCTTGGGGATGTCCCCAAGTTAGAGTCCCCTCCCCAGCTTGGCCCAGGGCTGTGTCTGCTCGTCTGACTGGTCCAGCTTCCTCCAGGGTCCATGCTGGCGCCCCTGTGCTGCTCCGGCCGTGAGGGCCTCTGCTCACTTCTCGCTTCTGGGTTTGCTCAGCTCACTGGCCATTAACCTGCACTGGCCCTTGTGAGCCTGGACTAGGGAGAGGTGGGTGCTCTGTGGAGGCCTCAGCGTCACCGTGGTAACGTCTTGCAGAGGACCTGAGAGCGAGGGCCTTTGGATGGGCCTCCAGGCCCCTGGGCTGATGCTCTCCAGCAGGCCTCCGCGTGCGCCCTGCCTTCCCCTTCCCACAGCTGCTTCTTTTTAAGTATGTTTTTATTGATTTCAGAGGTCGAAGAAGGGAGAGGGATAGAGAGATAGAAACATTGTTGAGAGAGTCATCAATCGGCTGCCTCCTGCACGCCCTTCCTGGGGATGGAGCCCACAATCCAGGCACGTGCCCTGACCCGGAATGGAACCAGTGCCTCTTGGTTCATGGGTCAACACTAACCACTGAGCACACCGGCCGGGCCTCAGAGCTTCTTGAACCTTCCTCGTAGCCTGTGCTTAGGGGCAGGACAGAGCTGGTCTCTTACTTGAATGAAAGGGTGGCGAGGAGCAAATGTTCCATGAACAGGATTGAGACGGGCTGCTGGCTGGGGTGCGTTTGAGGTTGGGAGGGGAGGGCTGGTGCAGGTTGGCCTCCTCCTCCCACTGCTCTCCCTGAGCACATGTGTAGCATGTCTGTTCTGCCCCCGAGGGAGACAGCGCAGCTCCTGTCACCCTCGAGCCGGTCAAGCGTCTGCGCTTGGTGGTCACCCGGGCTGAGCACCCCTCTACTGCTGTGAGCAGCCTCGCCGCCTGGAGACAGGGCGGCCGCAGGGCTCCTCTCGCTGCTCTCGGTCCCGGGAATCCCTGGTGTCTGCAAAGCACTCGCTCTTTCCCTTACAAAAGCACCTGAATGCTGGCTTCTCCGCGCCCCTGATGCCAAGGGCCGAGGTGGCGGTGCTGGCTCTCGGAGGCTGGGTCGCCTGCACAGTCACCTGTCCGGCCGGTGACAGAGGGGACGCCCAGGTTCCTGGCTCCGGTTACCTGGGGAGCACAGGAGGAGACACCTGCCCGGCCTGGTCCCGTAGAGCACGGCTGGGAACTGTCGGCGGTGGCGCGGCCGCGTGGGGCCGCTTTGCCCAGCACGGCGTAAGGAAGCACTGCGCTCTGGCGTGGCCCTCAGCTGAGTGTGAGGGGGAGGGGAGAGGCCCGAGGGGCGGGCCAGGCTGTCCGTCCTGCCCACAGTGACAGGTAACTTGGAAGGATAGTAGCCTCTCTTTCCCTTCAGAATGTGATGGGCGCCCGCCATAGCCCGTTGGTCCCCCATGCTCCCAGGTGGTCTCCACGGGCATGGCTGAAACGTGACCAAAGGGTCAGACGGCGTTTGTAATCTTGGAAACCCAGCCAGTTACGTGGGCATGAGCTGCAGGCTCTTTCAGAGCAGCTAAGAGGCCGTGAACTCTGCGGCCGGAGCATCTGCCCAAGCCAGCAGACCTCAGACCAGTGGTATTCGCCGCAGAAACGTTTCTGGTCTGGCATTGGGCTCTTTGTCCTCAGGGGCGGGCTGCTAATCTGGCCCAACAGCTCCCTGGGAGCCTGGACTGTTTTCCTTAGCAGAATTTCCTCTCTCCCATTGTTTTTGTTTTCTACTCTGACTGCTGAGCACTGGGCTGCCAGGCCTGGAATTGTAACCGACCGACTTGGGCTGGGCGGGCACCAGGGACAAGGAGCCAAGTCCATAGACCAGGGTCAGTGACTTCCCTGCGGTTGCAGCAGGTGCCCCTGGAAACAGTGTCCGTGTGGCTGCCTAACTGTCCGTTCCTGGGATGTGCCCCTGGAGGGATGGCAGGGCAGGGTCTGCACCCCGAGTCTGATGAACCTGATGCCTGATCCCCCAGGGGCCCCGCCCCACGGCCCCCCCCCCCCCCTTCCTCCAAGGCAGCTGGGACTGCCTGTCAGCAAGCTTCTGGCCGTGCTCACCTGGTGGGTGAAGGATGGGCCTGTGCAGTTCACACTTCACAGCTCACTGGTGAAGCAGACAGTTTTCAGCTATTTGTTAACGAGGCCCGGGGCACGGATTCGTGCACACCGAAAGGACATTCATTGGAAGAAATATTGTAACTTCACTCTGCCCTTTATAACAGAAGTGTCAACAAATTCACGATCGATAATGACATGGAAACACACGCGTGCGATCGGCGCCAGCGCGAGCTCTATGTGTGTGGTGCATGCGTGAGTCAACTTAGCCTCTTATAGAACAAGCTTGCTTCATTAGACCTGCTTTCTGATGCAGCTAAACTTTTTCCAGCCCAGCGAAGCACCCAACTTCTCCTTCAGGTAATTGTCAGCAACACAGCAGGAAATATCAACGCAAAGCAGATTATTGTTGTAGATCACACAGGGAGAACAAAGGGTGAAATATTTAATGCAGCCGTGTCTGACTATATTCTGCGCAGTGAGAAAACCTGACGTCATTGTCAAGGTCCACCATTTCTTGCTTCTGTTCAGTCAGGTCAAGTTTCTAAACTTTCTAAATCTCCATTTTCTGGCTAATAAAAAGAAAATAGGATTCTACCGTGTCTCCTATCTGCCTACTCCAGGACTTCTGTGAGGATCAAATGATTGTTAAAGTGTAAAATGTTTCTACCTGGCTATAAAGCAAGTCGTGTTCCTGGGCTGAAGAAACACCAAGAAGGCTAGTCACTAGGGCAGTGATGGCGAACCTATGACACGCGTGTCAGAGGTGACA